GTATACCCGCCTATAACAAAATATTAGAAAAAAGGGGATTTTAGCAATACTAGAAATCAGTTTGAAGCATGTTTGAAACATTAGAAAACACCAACATTATCGGGTGCGTTTAGAAGAATTGGCGCTTTTGGGAAATGGGTAAAACAACGATCGTAATATCATCCAAGAGTATTATCCGGTGCGTCCCGGAAATAATAATCGAGCGCACCCGGCACAACGCGGGAAAGCGCGGTGTGTCGGTTTAGTAGTTTCCACCACAGGGCATCCATCGCGCCAATCTTCGGGGTTTACGCTGTTCTCGACAAGTAAAGTGCACACATGTCGGTTTGTTCCGTTTGTCGTTAGCTGTGCCTAGAACCGACAGACTCGACCCATTGTCGAGGGGTCCCCGGGTTGAATGCAGGAAGCAGTCGGTCGGTCCCAGAAACCGCTGTCCCTGTAGCCGTTAGCTCCTACACAAAGAGAGCAGCTCTGCTAAAGCTGCCCCTAAAACACTGAAGTCGGGGTTGACCATTAAGATGGAAACGTTTCAGAAGGTGGAGAAAATAGGAGAAGGGACGTACGGAGTGGTTTACAAGGCTAAAAACAAAGTGACGGGAGAAACCGTTGCACTGAAGAAAATCAGGCTGGACACGTAAGTCGAGACACTTAGTGTTGGAGTTTATAATGTACCGGTAGTGAAGTCATTTTCCCCACCAATAACTAACACAAATATATCTTAAATTGCTAAACCTTTGTTGAAATGTTTACTGTAGTTACACACCTCCACAAAGAGTAAACTAAAAAGGCAAATGGTTTAATTAAATTAAGTCACATCCAATACAAATTGCATTTCCAGTAACATAATTGAGTCGTTACAATGCAAGTAGTACTTTATAAGCGTTTAATATGGCAGTTATGGCTTCAGATAAATACCAAAAACTATCATTAGGAAATAGTGTGTAAGAGTAAGATTTGAAACGATAAGGGGTCTCCTTACAGAGTGCTGCATTGTATGTGAAAAGTTGAGTGGAAGGAAAACTTGTTGGGGGAAAAACAAAAAAAGCGTACACTAGCAGCAGGGATGACCATAGCCTTAAGGTGATTTAACAGCAAAGCCCAATTGAGAATCTAATAGAGATGATTTATTGTATTTGAAAAATTTACAAAACATAACTTTTCAAATGGTAGAAGCACCTGACTTCAGTGATGCATCAATAAAGGCTGGAAGACACCACACGGTAGCATCCGATCCAACAGGAAATCAGGTCATATGTGGCACTTGGAGCTAATTGAAAATGCATGGGGCTACTCAGACTGTATGTGATTTTCTTTTATTATTATTATTATTATTTTTTTTTTAGTGCTGGCATAGCTCCAAATGATTTTGATTTCATGACTGAACCTTAAGATACGGGAGTGTTCAATTTCAAAGGTTGCATCCTCCAAGGACCTGGTCCATCTGGATCAGGTCCTGACTGGACAGGATCTGACTGGATCCTTTGAGGTCTGTGAAAATAAGGAGACTGGGTTCTGTTTCTCAATATGTGTACTTGTGCGTTCTCATGTACTTGTGTAGTTGAAAAACATCATCAGCCTCAGCCCTAGTACTGTGCCTATTAACAAGAACAGCAGGCCGAGAACGGAGAAAGTCCCGGGATGTTGTTCTCGCCCCTCCCTCTTTACCGAGTATGCATCAGAGCAGACTTGTCCGTTCCTGAGATATACAGCCATCCCAGCATGCACTGCGGCAGCAGCTTCCAGGGGAGCGCTCACAGAGTATTATGTGAAAAGTTCTCTTTTCTGTTGTTTTAAGATAATTTAAGGTGAAAATATTATACTTTTAAGCGTCACTAAATGGCCCATTTACTGATTTATTAATTTTAAAAAAAAGTTCCGATGTTGAGAGGACCGCGGCAACCAGCAGACCTCCGAGGCTAACCTCACCCAGGGCTAAATTTTAGCCCATCTGCAGCAGCCCTCTTTTGGGGATAAGGATAAGGATTTTTAAAGCCACACGGCATAACTTTTGACTCAAATTAATGCCTAATTTGAGATAAATCACATTTTACATCACTTCAGGCGTATCAATGCTCTGTGCAGGCTGCTATTCTCAAAAACTCTTTTAAAACTTGAGAGGGTCGGATCCGTCCCTGAGTCATGTAACCCAGAGTGCCACTTTATGGCAGTCTGAGCTTCCCTTAAGCACAAAGCTAACCAAGCTAAAAGATGCTGCAATAAAACCGATGAGACCCTTACCTAATCAGACATTTTTTTGGTTTAATCTAGAGGGATGGATGTGATCTGGTCTTTACTAGTGACTCCATGACTTCTTAATCTGCAGATGTTAATCTGCACGTGAATCTATCAGATTCCAAAACACCAAAAGAAATAGTTTAACTTACTGACAGTGCATTGCTGCCAGTAGTTTTGAGGGGGCTAAACCTGGAAGTTCCAAATTTAGCGTCCCTAGTGGCTAAAAGTTTAACACTTTTTAAATGAATGGGGTTGTTTTCTGAGTTTTTCCGCCTTCTTTGGGCCACAGGAATAAACGTGCATGTTACAGAGATCACATACAAAACCTGGATAGGTGATGAATGTAGCAGCTTTCTTGGTTAATGTGTCAGATGTTATCTTTAATGACATTGAGGTAAAACATTTGAACCATCTGTAACTGACTAAAGAGCATAACATAACGGCTTTATATTGTTCCCAGGGAAACAGAGGGCGTTCCCAGCACAGCCATTCGAGAAATTTCACTTCTTAAAGAACTCAGTCACCCAAATATTGTCAAGTAAGTTTATAGGATGTTAGCAGAACGTTACCTTTGATTCTACTGTCTTCCTTCTCAGGTTTTAGATCCAACCTTTTTATTTTGCTCTTTTAGGCTGAGAGATGTCATCCACACCGAGAACAAACTTTATCTGGTTTTTGAGTTTCTTCATCAGGATCTGAAAAAGTTCATGGACTCCTCCTCAGTTACTGGCATCCCACTGCCTTTGGTGAAGGTAATCATGTCTTCATAACATCTTTTCCTCTGTTAATGATCAAAACACGAGGGGAGACAGACTCATGTGACACCAGGGCTATGCAGATAAAAGCACACCGGTAGATATGTGCACGCTGGTGATGGAACACCCTTCGCCAAATGCCACCTGATGTTGACTAAAATTAAAGAAGCTGGTCAAATATGAAGGATATACTTTTAATTCTAGCTGTAACAATGTGTTGCTTATCTATGTGCATCATGAAAAACACTTGTTTGGCAGACTGATCCAAGAAATTAAGTTAAAAAAGAAAAGATTGAGTTATAACTGGTAAAGACAGATTGTCGCAAATCTTAATTACCTCTCACATTTCCCATGTTTCTACCAACAAAACAAAAGTGAAGGCTTTGTGTCACAGCCACACTTCATTAAATTAATTTGATTATGGGTGCATGTGGAACACACATGGAAGTGAGAGTATGTTGATGTTGATTATGTCTATAAACACTTATTCAAACTTAGAGAACAAAAACATTAAATTCAAGCAGGTAGGCTGACAGAGGAAGAGGACTGTTATTCTTCACCTTTATGAAATTGAAGCTTTAGAAACTTCAAAAATTAAATAAATTAGGCTCGAATGATATGAAATACATTGAATGCTCCCTTCTGAAATCCCCTTTCATACTGTTCATATGTGATTACGTAGAAAATGTGATATTTATAGCTGAGTGTTCCAAGAAGATGGCTGGGAGTGAAAAAGAAACTGTTCAAAGGAGCAAAAAACTGTTTCAAATGTGTAAAATAGATGAGAGTGAATAGAACACTTAAGTAATAAAAACATTCAATAAAGGTTGACACAAATAATCATTTTGTTGGGGTATATTGGTTGGTTAAGAGGAGTCAACGTTCTGACAATTTGAAAAGCCCTGCCTTAATAGTGTCCCTGATATGAATACATTTGTGCAGATTCAAACTCCTATTTCTCTGGTTTTGTGTTTATTCCTGATGTTTCTCTCTGTGTTACAGAGTTACCTTTTCCAGCTGCTGCAAGGCCTAGCCTTCTGCCACTCTCACAGAGTTCTCCATCGAGACCTGAAGCCCCAGAACCTCCTCATCAATGCTCAAGGAGAGATCAAGCTGGCCGACTTCGGCCTTGCACGCGCCTTCGGAGTACCTGTACGCACTTACACACACGAGGTAAGATGGTGGTATGGTCTGGTCTTTACCCTGTGTCCAGCTTCTGATTAAACTTCACATTTCTCCTGGATCATCTGCCATGATGACGTTAAGGCAGGGTAGTTTAATTAATATACTTTTAATTGTTTCATGTTGATCCAAAGGCTTTATCAAAAGAACCTTTTCATTTCTTTACACATTTCTGGATTTACTCCAGAACTTGTTTGTTTACTCAGAGGGAACTCAGAAATTTGATTGGTTTCTCCCTCCTACCAGGTCATGCTCACAGCAACCCTCTTCAGTGTAAACACTGTGATTGAGCGAAAGGGGCTTGCAGTTAGATGGTTCCTGTATCATTTGACTGTTAACAATTGAAATCAAGGAAGTACAAAGATTTAAGAAGTTGCTTTCGGTTTTCTATGGCATGTTGAGTCATATCTGCCGTTCACTGTTTGCAAGATAGCGTGAGACCTTCAGCAGCTAACAGGAAGGCTAAACGAATACATTATCCCTTTAACCTGTGGCTTCTAGATTCAGAAATGTCTGCAGTCTTTGCATAAATCTCTGAGTTAGGACAAGGATATCATCTCTTTGGGGATGCATTATGGATGATGCTGTGTTGCAATGCTCACTCTATTAATGCTGTTTCAATGCTAAGACAGTTAAAAAAATTTACTCTAAATGTTTAGTGTTACATAAAAAAAAGTCTGATTGTAAAGCGAATACTTTCTCACGCATTTGTGCTTTTCCTAATGTAAATTAATGCCTGTCAGCTATAGGAAGGCTGAAGATGAAAGGATATCAGAATAAAAGAATCTATCCAATACATTTTGATTAGAAAATATCCTTTATTTTAGTTGCTACATTTCTGACTGTTTTCATACTGGAAGATATTGTGTTTTCCAGGTGGTCACTCTTTGGTACAGGGCACCAGAAATCCTCCTGGGTTGTAAATTCTACTCCACTGCCGTTGACATTTGGAGTCTGGGGTGCATCTTTGCCGAAATGGTAAAACAACCTGAATGTTTTTTTTTTTTTGTCAAGTGAAACAAGAGTGGTCTGTAAGCAGCACTGTGTTCACAGGTCACCAGGAGGGCCCTGTTCCCCGGCGACTCTGAGATAGATCAGTTATTCAGGATCTTCCGCACCTTGGGGACACCCGATGAAAACGTTTGGCCGGGAGTCACATCAATGCCCGACTACAAACCGTCCTTCCCCAAGTGGGCTCGGCAGGATTTAGCCAAAGTAGTTCCTCTTCTGGATGAGGACGGGAGAGAGCTGCTGGCAGTGAGAACAATTTAAATTGATTTATTTAAAAAGCAACCGAAAGATGTTACACCAAGAAATAATTGTAATGTGTGTGACTGTGTTTCAATTGTGATGTTTTTTTGTTTATCTTTTTTAGGAAATGCTGAATTATGACCCAAACAAACGGATTTCTGCCAAAAATGCACTTGTACATCGGTTCTTCCGGGACGTTTCCATGCCAGTTCCTCACCTGAGACTCTGAGTTGTTTAAATCATCAGGCCGGTTCAGACCAGAGTAACATCTAAGCAATAAGGACGAACTGCAGTCCAGTGGCTGGAACAGACAGAAAACCTGGACACTACAGGAGCCGAAGGGTCCCTCACTATCTAAAAACAGCTTTTAAGTAGCTGGACGTTCTGCAGCTTTTGTTTCAAGTGTTAAACTGTTATTTCTAATTTTATTTGGTGTATTTATGTACAGCTGCCACATTTGATCTATCATTAATGATTTAAATCTGTGATGTTCAGCTCAGAACAATAACTGAAAAAGAAATTCCAGATTTAAATGTTTAATATTGTTTCTGATGTTCAAGTAGTTTGTTAATTAGTCAAATTGATAAATTGGAGGGACTGTGCTAATAAAATCACCAGCTCTTGGAAAGCTTGAGGTACTACTGAACAGAGTGATGGCTCTCAGTACAACCAGCCACTAAAAGAACATCAGATTAATTGATTTCCTCCTGCTTGACTTTTGTTTCACTGCAAATGATCTTGAGGTGGTTTTAAAACGGCACCTTTGTTTGATAGTAATGTGATTTATAGTAGTCCATCGTCATTTTACAGAGTTTAACTTGTTATTGCATTGTTCATACTTTAGATTTTACCCAAATTTAATGCACAATTTTTATGTATAATGTTTATATACAGTTGGACTAAATAAACTTGTTTAGATAACTGCTGGTTTTTGTTGGACAGTCAGTTAATTCACTTTGTTGGAGTCAAGATTTTAAGGATATTAGAATGAAGGTTATGAATTTGACAGGCTTGTGCTATTATCATTGTTAATGCCATGAAAAAGTGAGCTGTTTAGTCACATTTGAATTTTAAACTTTAATTATTTTTGTTTTTTTGGGAAGTTGAGCAAGAAAGTGGTCCCTAATTATACCAGATAACAGCCGGTTTGCTGACATTTCTCACCAACGTAAACTGGAAAAGTGTTTTACTCGAGTACCACTGAATGCAAATGAATGTTTTTATCTCAAAATGGAAAGGTCATGAATGTCCTACCCTCATTTCATCAAGAATCAAGACTATTTAGATAGATTTGTAATAATAGTAATTAATAATAATAGTGAAGACGTTGCTTTTTAACCAAACTTCGACAGAATTATTTTAAAGAATCTAATGAAACGGCTTGGACAAAAAGGATGGTGCCTTAAATTGGTATTTGGTTCCACAACTTTTTGAGGCAATCATTGCAATCAAATTATTCCCCTCACTATTAATGAGACATCTGCTCCTCAGTGCAGGTATTTTGGTCCACTGCTCCAGATGTCTCAGATATGAAGGCTCCCTCTTCCAGACGGCATCTTTCAGCTCCTTCCAAAGATGCTCAATAGGATTTAGGTCAGGGCTCACAGAGGACCACTTCAGAGAATAATGTTTTCTTCTCAGCCATTCTTGGGTGTTTCTAGCTGTGTGTTTTAAGTGATTATCCTGTTTAAGACCCATGACCTGTGAGTTAGACAAAGCTTTCTAACACTGGGAAGCACATTTATCTCTAGAATGCTTTAAGTATTGAGATTTCATTGAACCCTGCAGAGAATCAGACACCCTGTGCCAGATGAAGCAAAGCAGCCCTAGAACATAAAAGCCTCCTCCATGTTTTAATGTAGGGACAATCTTCTCATCTGTCCATGGGACATTCTCCTTTATGGCTTGTCAATATGTAGTTTGATGAATTCCAGTTTGGCATTTTTAGGATTTGTTTTCAGCAGTGGTGTCCTCCTTTGTCGTTTCACTGATCTCATTTTCTGGTTCTTCCTTCTATGTAAATTCTGCCTTATTAAAACCTGATGTTTTAAAGAAAATGAAAGTCCAACAGAGTTCAACCAAAATGCTTCCTTGTTGTTTTACCTCTAACATCATCAAACTGTGAAAGGATGTACAGTAAGAAGTATTGTCCCTGGCCTCCACCAGATGGCTGTGGCTCCTCCCAGACATTCCAGTCCACCTCTGGGAGTCTGCTGGCTCCTTCGCTCACTCTCGCCGACATCTGGTCAGGTTTTAACTGTGACCTAAGAAGTGCCTGAGCTCCAACAAAATGAGACGACTTGTGTTCATTCTTACTTTGGTCTACATTGCTGCCGCTCAGCACCAAGCTCTTATTGACTACTTGGAAAGGAGGCTCCTTGCTATTGAGGTAAGACTTTTTGATCTTCTTGCTGAGCCTCATGAGTTTCCCCACAGAGGAAATTTTCAGGAACCGATTAGGTGGAATGCAGTGGAAAAATCCTGGGGAAAATCCTAGGCAATTCAAATCTGTCACACTGTTGAGACAGCACAAACTTTTCCTCTGAGTCTGCAGCTCTTAAACTTGACTATAGATGTTTGCAGTATGATGTCAAACTAAGAAAGTTTCCAGAAATCACATTATAAAAAAGCATTTATTTTTAGGGATAATATTCTAATTAAAGCTCAATGTGTGCAGGTTTCAGTTTAGTAAAAAAGTAATTAGATTTAGTCATATTTTTATTTTTTAGATCTTAAAACAAATCAAACAAAGGGTAGACTGAATATACAAATAATTGATACTGATTCTATTTGTAATCTATTCTATTTGACTCAAGGAATCACTGATCTAATTAACAAGAAGTAGGCTAAATAATCTCGAAAGGCAGAACAACCAGCCACAATTTATAGAAATTTAGGCTGAGTGGATCAATAAAATTACTGATGTCTTAAAGTCTGTCATGGGTCATTCCAGCAAGCTGACATGAGAGAGGAAAAGTGGTAAAACCTTTGCAAGAGTTTTCAGCATATTAAAATTACTATAAAAGTGCATTGCTGACTCACCCAGAAGGTCCCGAATACAACTTAGATCCCCATTTTAACCTCTGCAGGCTTTATTTTCCTGCATGTCTGTTGAATTCATTAATCTTAAACAAAAAAAGACTCCAGAGGAAATCGATCCATTATGGAGTGGCCTGGTAAAATCCATTGATGATCAAACAAAGCAAGGGCCTTTCTCAGCTTTCCCCAAAATAAACCTGTTATTCCTAAAACTTAGAAACATAACCCATTGACTCAGAAAGCTAAATATTTAATTTAAGAAGTTATTTGTTGGCTGTAAAACAAACACTTTTCGGAAATGAAACATCACAACTACATTCAAACATGGTGATGGTGCCAAGAACAGGTATGATGGTACAGACTAGACATTTTCTGGAACTGTCCTTAAATATTATAAAGTAGTGGGATATTCCTATGAGCAGTGTAGTACTTTATCTTTGTCTTTATTAATGATATCAAATAAAAAATCAGAGTAAGGGACAGGTGTCTGATCAAGATAATGTTAACAGCAAGAGAGAAAGCTATGATGACGAAATGGGGAAAGGTGGACTCCTTGCCATGGACTGGGATAATAGAAGAAATCTACATAATGGATGAATTGATATAAATCTTGGTTATGGTTCTGTTTTAGTTTTCTCTTTGAGTTTCAGTATTTTTTTTTGTGCACTTTTGCTTCTGTGCCCTTTGGATTATTAAACCTGCAAGAACTCACTTCTGCTTCAATCTCTCCCTTTGGGTCCTCAAAATACCTCCACTCAATCTGACATTATATCGGCTGAGTCAACAGTAAGAAAATGGAAGAGAAGCCGTGACTTAAAATAAAACGAGAGCTTGACAAACTTGATAAGAAAAACAGACTTTAGGAAGAAAAGCTCCCAAGCAAGAGTTTTTCTATTCATTTTAAAAAATATATAATGTTTATTATGGATTATTCATGCATGCTCTATTTGTAAACAGATTAGGGAAATTACAATAAAATGTTAAACAAAAACATTCTGCTGGAGGAGAGGTGTTATGGGTATGCTAGAACATCAAAATGAGAATTTCTAAGGTTCAGTTTTTGACCCTTACTCAGGGTCAATTAGGTTACGTTAACATAAGTCACGCTGTCAAGTTCATGTCTACTATTTCAAAATGGAAAAATGTCAGAGATTGAATCTGATAAATATGGCTGCATATGACTCTTAACAAGTTGTGTTTGCCCTCTAATGTGGCTAAAGTAAAACTATTCTTAAAAGTATGTCAAAATTCATTGACATTGATGTAAAATGCTCCCTGCTAATTATCACACACACCCCATCAAACAAATATGAATTTTCCAGTGTAAATACAATTTTTTTAGGAGCTAGCCAGTCAGTCCCAACATGGAACAAAAATGTGGGAATGTGGAAAAACATTTGAAAAAAACAAAAACTGGAGAACTTAAAAATGAAATGTTTAATTCTTCAACTTCTGTTGAGCTCTCTAACAGCAATTCAGTTTGAACTCATTATCTTTCACTGTCTTCCAGCCCATATAACTAATTAGTCATCAACAAAGATTGCTTATAAAATAAACAACAAATTACCAGTAGCAAAGCGATCTCAGACCGTTTTCCTGAAATACATTTATGCAGAGTGGATGCTTGCCACATGTGGGCTAAACCATCCTGATGAAAGGACTGGGGGCATGAGTTAAGTCTAGAAACTTCTTTTTAGTTACAGCATAAAATAAACATCTTGTGAAGTTGTGGTTGAGACTCAATTGGGTCTAATCAGCTTTGTTTAAAACAGGACAGGATCTCTCTGTGGCAAGAGCAGACCACACGCTATGCCTCTGAGCTGCGGGAGCTGAAGCTCCAAATGGTTTCTCAGCTGGAGAGTCTGGATAAAGAGAAGGAAACTTTGAGGATAAATCTGGATGGAGTGGGGACCAGGGTGGACCGGGTGGAACGTGAACTGGACTACCTGGAAACGCAGAACGGGGCTCAGCCGTGCGTGGACGTGGACGACAGGCTGATAGAGCAGCAGGTGACCCTGGTGAAGGAGAAGCAGAAGGCCAAGTATCTGAAACTCACAGGTGAGACGCGCTGTTGGTTAAATAAACTTCACATGATGCAGGGGGGGAAATAGCTGTTCAGTTTTATTCAGTTCAGATAAATCTGACCACTTCTTTGTGTATCAATTAAATCTAAAACCAACAAAAGAAAAATGTGATTTAAAACAAAATGCAGTTATTTAACTAGGATCTAATTTGTCAGTGAAATAAATGAAGCCACTATTTCAAAATATTAAAAATACTACTGAAAGTAAAGTTATGTGGGAACTACTGACTATTCTCATCAATGGAAACATTGAGGGCTTATTTTAAAGAGTATCTTTAAACAAAATCACATAAAAGGCAGCATTTGTTTTTTGTTTATTCAAATTTAATAAATATTTTTTTGTTTTTTGGTTTAACCATTTTAATGAATCTGGGCCTTTGAAAACGCATGAATTTTATTTTGAAACGTACCCCTAAGCTTCTGTTAGTGCCTGGTTGCCATGATGATTCCCATGTTTTCTTGGCAACAGGTGTGAGAGTTAACGACACAGGGATGCAGAAGAAGGATTCAATCGGCACTGTTCAAAAACCAATTGTCATAAAGGGAAAATCTTTGAAACAGAGCGACGGCTAGGGATTACTTATGGTGATTTAAAAAATATATAGTCTGATCTTATAGAAGGACAATAAAAATTATCTTTTAAATACTTAACCAGGAAAATCTGACTCAAATATCTGATGTGACTTGAATGAATAAACAAATTAATGACACGCTGGTGGTATTTGATAGAAATAAGATTGTTGAAACAGTAATAGAAAAAAATAAAAAATAAAAATGGTGCAACGCAAGTTCCTAAAGTCTCTGTGGCCATGGGGGCGAGTATAACAGATCATCTTTTCTGAAATAACATGCACAAAATAATCTGAAGAATAGATTGCATTATAAAAAATGTTTGGCTGGATGATGTTTTAGGTACAGGTGATTGCTTATGGTTCCTAGAGCGTATGCATGGCAGAAACTCTCTACTGGCTTCTCTTTACAAAGCTGGTGGTATGTGAGTTCAAGATGAGCTTTCTATCCTTCCTACTCTAAGAGGTTCAAGATCTCCACTATTTTTACAGCATAGTTGTCCATTTTAATGAGGGAGGGATTATTATATGGTGACATTAAACAGATATTGCTATATTCAATACAAAGCTGTTTGTAGCTGAGAAAATGTGTGTCTTCTGTCAACAGTGCAATAGCAACTGGGTAAGTGGAGGAATACGGTGGTTGATAAAGGACAAATACATTTGTGTGGGGAAAAAAGGGCTAAGTACACACCCTTGTGGTGCTCCAGTGGTGGATGTTAGTACCACTGACATGGTTGCCTTGGGATAGCCTTGATGTCTTTGGGACATGGATATTTCCAGCTGGTGGGTATGAGCTACATTGTGTTTTACATGATTGTTATTTCTTAACAGCAAGACAGGGGTGGATTTGAATCCAGGTGATGGTCTGTGTGCATGAAGTCTGCTTGGTCTTTGTGAATATTAGAAGTTCCTCCCAAAGTCCAAAAAAATACCTGGCTGTTATTCCTGTAAGGAACTGGTAAACTGTCCAGCATATAAAAATTGGTGTAGGCACCAGAACTCCCCCCTAATAGAGCTCTTTGGTTTATAGTCACTTTTGGGCTTCGAAGCAAATGAAAAAACGAGAAGGACACTAAGACTACCATTGAAACCTAATCTTTAGGGTGATATGAATGTAAACTACTTTGAAAATTCACTGCTCACTAAATATGCAAAGCATTTTTTTTCTTTTACAGACTGCAGTGATATGATATCCAGCATAAAAGCCATGAAGATCCTGAAGCGAGTGGGGGGGCCAAAGGGGATGTGGACCAAAGACACAAGTGGAGCCTCTGGGAAGGTCTACATTTTCAACGGGACAGCTGAAGACACCATCAATGAGTTTGCCTCTGTTCAGGACCTCGCCCGCTCCGTAGGCTTCTCTTTGTCCACTGACCTGAAGATTCCCTCTTCCTGGAAGGGGACTGGACATGTGGTCTACAACAACCATGTGTATTATGTAAATCAGGATGAGGAGATAACTGTGGTCAAATTTGACACAATAAAAAAGTCTATGACAGACAGCGCGGTGTTTCCAATACAGGATCATGTTCCTGTCTATAGCCTGAACCCTGAGACAGTGATGGACCTGGCTGTGGATGAGGAAGGCCTATGGGCTATCTATGCCACAAAGCAGAATGAGAGACACATCTCTCTGGCTAAGATTGATAGCAACACCCTGGACATCGAGCAAATGTGGGACACAAACTGCCCGAGAGAAAATGCAGAGACGGCCTTTGTCATCTGTGGCACCTTGTATGTGGTTTATAACACCAAGCAGCCCGGCCGCTCACGAGTGCAGTGCGTGTTTGACGTGAATGACCTGGTGACAAATGAAGAGGCACCTTTAGTTTACTTTCCAAAGCGCTATGGTTTTCACGCCAGTTTGAAGTATAATCCCCAGGAGCAGCTACTCTACGCCTGGGATGATGGCTACCAGATCCTCTACAAGCTTTCCATGAGGAAAAAACTGGAAATCTGAAACCAAAGTAATTCAGCATAAAAAAGCCCATCCGAAGATCATGTATTATTTTAGATATATCTCTTGTCTCTTCTGATTTTTAAACTGTCTGAATTCAATTTTTTATCCAATTAAATTCTGTCATTAATGTAACCTGAAACAAGTATTTTCATGCTCTGACTTATCAATCACTAACATGCAGTACACAAGTACACAACCACTACCCACATTTTATCCCCACATTAACATCCTATCAAAAACTGTTTGTATGTACTGTAGCATTGACATTAGCATGTCCCATTTAGATTTTAATGTTAAGTTAGTTCTAGAAAAATACTCTGTAGTTGGATTATATTTATAGAATTTTCAAAGCTCATTACCATTCAATAAATAAAAAAGGCCACTGGTTATACAATACTGAGTTCTTTAAACTTAATGCTGGAAAACAGGTTTGCTACAGAGCAAAAAATCTTTCTTTGTCGCAAAACAATGTACTCAGAGGTGGGTAGTAACGAGTTAAAAAAATATGATATATATTTATATATATATATATATATAATATATATAAAAATATATACTTTTAGGAGTAGTTTAATTTGCCGTACTTGTTACTTTTACTTGAGTAATATTCTTGTAAAGTATCACTATGAGTAAAATCTTTGACTACTCTGTCCTCTGTGAGTAATTTGAACTAGTCCAGGATCATATAAACATACGGTAAACAGTAGAAATTATCAATGGGAGTTCTCTAGCCTGTCCTAAAATATATAGAGTTCTCACTGTAAGGATTTGTTTATGTGTAACAAAAAAAAAAGGTAAAAGTATTTCAACTGTATGAATTTGTCCTTCTATATTTATGATATTTATTTTTATTTTTTATGCATTTGAGTCTTTAAAATACTAGAACTTCACATCAGGTCTGTTTGTCTTCATAATTTCTAAACATCAAATCAGATCTTTTAATCTAACAATTAATCAGTACTCAAGCCTTTTCACTAAATACTTTTTTACTTTTACTTGAGTAATTTCTTGGGTGAATACTTTTTCTATTGGAGTAAAACAATTTTGAAGTTCTGCTACTCTTACTTGAGTACATTTCTTCGGTACTCTACCCACCTCTGAATATGCTGATTTACCACTCTGCCAGCCTTATATTAGCAATTATCTGATAAGAGATCAATACGGCAGCTTATCCTTATAAATTACTCTTTTGTCAAAAAAAAGCTTAGCAGGCAAGCTCTGGTGAAGTGGTTTTC